TCAGGTTTTTCAGGTTCTTTAAGATCCTTCCTTCAGATCTGCCAGATTCTGCAAGATTCTACAAGATTCTGCAAGATTCTGCAATATTCGGCAAGATTTTGCAAGATTAGATAAGATTTCACAAGATTCTCCAAGTTTCTCCAAGATTGTACAACATTCTCCAAGATTATGCAATATTATACAAGATTTTCCAAAGATTCCTCAAGATTCCGCAAGATTCCCCAAGATTTTCCAAGATTCTGCGAGATTCTGCAAGATTATACAGGATACCACGGGATTCTCCAAGGTTTTCCAAGATTATGCAACATTATGCAAGATGCAAGATTATCCAAGATTCAACAAGATTTTGCAAGATTATGAAACATCATTGCAAGAATCTGTAAGATTTTGCAAGATTTTGCAAGATTCTACAAGATTTCGCAAGATTCTCCAAGTTTCTCCAAGATTATACAATATTATACATGTTCTTCAAGATTATATATGATTCTACAAGATTCTACTAGATTCCACGATATTCCACGAGATTCCACTGGATTCCACGTAATTCAATGAGATTCCACGTGACTCCACGAGACTTTCTCACAAGATTCTACAGAATTCCTCTATCAAATTCGTCTGCAGGATTCATCCACAAAATGCATCTATAATATTCTACAAGATCTACAAGATTTAGCAAGATTCTGCAAGATTCTGCAAGACTCTGCAAGACTACAAGATTCTCCTCCGATTCTACAAGATTCTGCAAGATTATACAGGATTCCATAGGATTCTCCAAGCTTATGCAAGATTATGCAAGATTGGGCAAGATTATCCAAGATTATGCACGATCACTGCAAGATTCTGGAAGATTTTGCAAGATTCTACAAATTTCTCCAAGATTATACAATATTATACGTCATGTTCTTCAAGATTATACATGATTCTACAAGATTTTACAAGATTCTACAAGTTTCTACGAGATTCCATGAAAATTAATGAGATTTCACGAGGTTTCACGAGAATCCACGAGATTCCACGTGACTCTACGAGACAACACAATATTCCATGAGACTCTACGAGATTCCACAAGATTCCACAAGGTTCTATAGGATTCCCCTGTAGGATTCGTCTGCAGGATTCATTCACAAAATTCATCTACAAGACTTTGCAAGATTCTACAAGATTCCGCAAGATTCTCCGATTATACAATATTATACAGGTTCTTCAAGGTTATACATGAATCTACAACATTCTACAAGATTTTACAAGATTCTACGTGACTCCACGAGACTCTACGAGATTCCACGAAATTCCACGTGACTCCGCGAGACTCTACGAGAGTACACAATATTCCAAGAGACTCCACGAGATTCCACAAAGTTCTACAAGATTCTACAGGATTCCTCTGTAGGATTCATCTGCAGGATTCATCCACATAATTCATCTACAAGACTTTACAAGATTCTACAAGATTCTGCAAGATTAAGCAAGATTCTGCAAAATTCTGCAAGATTTGCCAAGATTTTGCAAAATTTTGGAAGATTCTGCAAGATTCTGCAAGATTGTGGAAGATTCTGTAAGCGTTAGCAATATTCTACAAGATTCCGTAAGATTCTCCAAGTTTCTCCAATATTCTCCAAGATTAGGTATACAAAAAAATCGACTACACCAAAATTTCTCGGGAAAACACTTTTTCTTATTAAATTGGGTGCGTAGAATCCAAATCTAGACTAGAAACCAATTTCGAAAAAAAATTCAAAGGGTTGTAACTTTTGAACTAGTAGCCCAATCTTGGAACCCTGCTTGGAACTGTTTGAAATTATGGATCCTACAGGTCACATTCTATAAGAAATTTTTTTTCCGGGTCGATCTGAGACAATTTTCTTTTCGTGGCTCAAAAAAAGGCAGTATATAACCTTCTTTTTATACCAAAAATTGACTACACCAATATTTCTCGGGAAAAAAACTTTTTCTTATTAATTTTGGTGCGTAGAGTCCAAATCGATTCGTACTTTTTCGATCAGACTTCTCAATCAAAAGTTATAGACTAGAAACCAATTTCGAAAAAAAATCCAAAGGGCTGTAACTTTTGAATTAGTAGCCCAATATTGGAACTGTTTGAATGAAATTATGGATTCTACAGGCCACATTCTATAAGAAATTTTTTTTTTCGGGTCGATCTGGGACAATTTTTTTCTCGGGGCTCAAAAAAAGGCAGTGTATAACCTTCCTTTTTTTTTACCAAAAATCGACTACACCAAAATTTCTCGGGAAAACACTTTTTCTTATTAATTTGGGTGCGTAGAATCCAAATCAATTCGTACCTTTTCGATCAGACTTCTCAATCAAAAGTTATAGACTAGAAACCAATTTCGAAAAAAAATTCAAAGGGCTGTAACTTTTGAACTCGTAGCCGAATCTTGGAACTGTTTGAAATTATGGATTCTACAGGCCACATTCTATAAGAAAATGTTTTTTCCGGGTCGATCTGAGACAATTTTTTTTTGGTGACTCAAAAAAAGGCAGTGTATAACCTTCCTTTTTTACCAAAAATCGACTACACCCAAATTTCTCGGGAAAACACTTTTTCTTATTAATTTTGGTGCGTAGAATCCAAAACAATTCGTACTTTTTCGATCAGACTTCTCAATCAAAAGGTTATAGACCAATTTCGAAAAAAAATTCAAAGGGCTGTAACTTTTGAACTAGTAGCCCAATCTTGGAACTGTTTGAAATTATGGATTCTACAGGCCACATTCTATAAGAAAATGTTTTTTCCGGGTCGATCTGAGACAATTTTTTTTTTCGTGGGCTCAAAAAAAGGCAGTGTATAACCTTCCTTTTTTACCAAAAATCGACTACACCAAAATTTCTCGGGAAAACACTTTTTCTTATTAATTTGGGTGCGTAGAATCCAAATCAATTCGTACTTTTTCGATCAGACTTCTCAATCAAAAGTTATAGACTAGAAACCAATTTCGAAAAAAATTCAAAGGGCTGTAACTTTTGAACTAGTAGCCCAATCTTGGAACTGTTTGAAATTATGGATTCTACAGGCCACATTCTATAAGAAAATTTTTTTTCCGGGTCGATCTGAGACAATTTTTTTTCCGGCCTCAAAAAAAGGCAGTACTTTTAAGTTATTCAAATATTTGAGAACAATTTAGAAATGTTTAGGGAAAGTTTCCATTGTCACAAAATCAAATATAAAAATCCGATACAACTGAATACCGAACGATCCTGGAGTGAAACTTTTTGACTCGATAGTCTATGTAACTTAAAAACAATAGGGACCTTTCTTATATCCTTAAGATCATGTGTACCAATTTTCTAAGCGATCGCACGTTTCTAAACAAACTATCATGCACACGGACAAACGGATGGTAAAAAATGGATCTGTTTCAAAATCGCTAGGATTAATTTCAGAAAGGGGTACGTATCATGTGCACGACGTACGATCGCTTTGAAAACTGGTACACATATTCTTAAGGATATAACTGGTATAAGAAAGGTCCTGGTAGGTACCTCCTATATAATAATATAATAATAATAATACGCTTTTACTCCCCTTAAATTTGTATATAACAATAGAAATATAAAAAAAGCTAACCCCATACAAAGTATAACTTGATTTTTTAAGTAGTATTAAGCCTTTTATCTAGTATACTATTTTAAATTTTTAATGTATTTGAGTGACAAGTATTTGAATACTTTTTACTGTATTCGAATACTTTTCAAAGTATTGAAATACTTTTTAAAGTATTCGAATACATTCTAAAGTATTTGAATACTTATTTTTTTAAGTATTTGAATACTTTTCAATGTATCTGTATCTAGTATTCGCTTGTGCTGGACGTAAAAGTATTTAGTATTCAAATACCTTTGATTTGTGTAAAGTATTTACTATTTAATATTCAAGTACTTTTTGAAAGTATTCTGCCCAGCTCTGGTAGGTACCTACGAGGTGTTTATTGGTGTGGGCATTCAAACCCGTTCATGATGGTAGTGATTGTGGTAGAAAAAGAGTTTATCGGAGAGTATTGGAATACTCCCCAGACTCCCCGGTTATATTTTCTCACCAAAAAATGTTTAGCGTTAGTGTGGTTTTTTTTAGAGAAAGGGCCAGAGCTTTCTTGATCCTACTTTTTCCTACTTGGGCTTCTTGAACTCCACGAAGCTTATTGAATTCTTGTGCTCGAAGCGGTCGAGGCGTCTAAAACGTATAAATATATTTCTTAGATGATCTGGTGAAAGACAAAGCGAGCTAGAAATATGCGGAATATGCAGATATGCGCAACACGAAAATGTATGCTATCATTTGGATGTTTTGCACATTATGCAAGTGGGAATGTAAGTTGGCACATAGGGCATGCCGTATTTGCGAAAAATGCACTTAATTTGGTACATACTTGGACAATGTAGAGGAAAATATGCATTCTAAGGAGATTGCTTGAGCTTGAGCCGAAAATGGGAAGCTCTAGTTCCAAAATCGATCGATAGATAGCGATTTTTCCAGTAGTTTGGCCCAAATTCACAATGAAATGTTTTTTGACCAAGTTCCGCCAGTTTAGATGAAATTGCTCCCATTTTAATGACATTGGAGCACCGTGTGCTGGAAGAGTTTCACGCCATTATTCCATTCGAGACAATACTCACTTATCAGCGGCTCAGAGTTTGGGCAACCCCCTCTTCTTGGTACTTTGGTTCTTTGCCCTACAACGAGCGCGGTCTCCAGGTATTACCCTTTCACAATATCAGCCTTAACTAAACGCCACGATATCTCGTTGATTAGCTGTCATTACTTTTACAACTCTCTTATCTTCCATTTGTCTCGAAACGTCACCAACAACAATTACGCCTAATTGAAAACAAGACGCGTCGCTCTTCGGCCATCTTTTTTTCTTCCCCATTAGTCACCTGCGGATCTGTCGGTCGGTGTCTCTCGCGGCGTTCGATAAGAGATAAATTTACCCGTCCAGTAAAAAAGTCGCGTGTAAATATTGAGCAGGTATTTAGGATATTGAAGTTTGCTTTAGTTATCAGTTTCCTCAAGTTTCCTATCTTAAATTATGTCAGCGAGATCTTCAAGTGCATCGGCACGTTAGTGCGGCCGCGCCTAATTTTGGAGACTTTTCTCGTTTCGCGAGTGGCATACCCGTATCTTCCCTTTTGTTTTTCGACTATTTTTTCAGGTGAGTGATCGGGTTTTTAATTGAAGCGCCATGCATATGGGAATAGGTTAGGTTTTGCGATAAGTATCGGGTGTCCATGTTTACAATTCACACTCGTCGAGCTACAACTTTTGTTGACTTACTTTATTGATTTCAATTTATAAAACGATACCGGTATCAACTTTCAGTATTGATTTCTTATACACGAGGCAGATTTACTCGGGAAAAAAAGATTCAATTACGGTGTTCGTCCCTTAAAAAGGCGAACGGACGGACGTACGGATCACGAACCGCTCGCTCGCTTTATATGTCAAAGCAATATCAATTAATGCTCGTACAATGGAATCGTGAATGTTGCACAAATTGTGAAATTGCAGTCAATTTAATTTATTCTTAACATTTTACGGCCGTTTAGATCGCGTATCTAATAATGTCACATGATGACTATCGGAAATAGAAAGCGCAGTCCCGCGAAAAATTTTACCATAGCGGCTTAATTAAATTCATTTAGACCTCCAATTATCGCGTACAATATTATGTCAGCGATTTAATTTCGTTAGGCTTCGGGCGACCATTTGCTATACCATTATCGATAACAAGGACGATAAAAATTTTTAATTTATTTTTTTCCTGTGTTTATTTAATTACCTACGTTTAGTTCTCTATTGAAATCGCGGCAAAAAATAAATGAAATGGACGCGCGGAAGGTCGACGTACGGCGTTTTAATGTTACAATTTTGTTAGAAGTCTTTATTGAAGAAGAAAACGCAAGGGATGTACACAATTGTCACCCTGCCACCCCACAAGTCACGGACTGTGTTTCGTTTTAGTGCATTACTATTGAGATTTTTAAGGCGAAAAGTTCCATCATTCCACTCAAAACTCTTAAACTTCAAAGTTTCGAACCTTAAATTTCTATCGTCGAACATAAGTACCCACATCTCAAGTCCTATATACCTACAACCTTAAACCTCAAACCTTCAACCGGAACTTCATTCAGACTTGCAACTTCAGAACTCAAATTTCAAACTGTAAACCTGAGACTTTAGATTTTAAACTTTGTACTTAAAACTTCGGACTTCAAGATTCACAATTCAAACCTCAGACTTCAAACTTTACACTCAAAACTTCGGACTCAAACTTCAGACCTCAAATTTTTGACTTCAGACTGTAAGTTGGAAATTTCAGATTTTAAACTAGTGACTAAAAGAATCGGTACATGAAACTTGGGACTTCATACTGCGGAGTTCAAATTACAGACTTCAAAATCAAATTTTAAACTTTAGACTTAAAATTTCGAAATTAATACTTTAAAACTTCGGGCTTCAAATTTCGGTCTTCTGAAAATTGTACTTAAAGCTTCGAACCTCAAACTTCAAAATTTTTACTTGAAGCTTCAGATTTCAACCTTCAGACTTCGGGCTTCAAACTTTATACTTAAAGCTTCGGAATTCGAACTTCATTCTTTAAGTTGCAGACTGAAAACTTCAGACTTCATAGTTTTACATTTAAAATGTTAAACTTCAAACTTCATATTTAAAATTCTAAATCTCAGACTTCAAATGTCAAATTCCAATCCTCAGACTTCAAACGTCATACGTCAAATTTCAGACTTCAAACACAGACTTTGAATTTTAGAGTTTAAATTGCAGGTTTCAAACTGTATACTTCAAGATATCAAATTATACACTTAAATTTCGAACTACAAATTTCGGCATTTAAAATGCACAATTTAATCCTTAGATTTCGAACTTCAGACTTTAAACTCCAGGCTTCAAACATCAGATTTCAAACTTTATACATAATACTTAACCATCAAGCATCATGCCTACAGTCGTAAACCTCAAACCTAGAACCTGCAACCTTAAGTTCAGACTTTTAAACATCAAATTTTTCAGATTATGAACTTGGGACTTCAAACTTCAGAATGGAAACTTTAGACTTTAAATTTCAGAGTTCAGGTTTTAAAATTCAGACTTTAGACTTAGAGTTTAGACTTGAAGCTTCAGACTTCAAACTGTGCTTAATACTTCGGATTTCAAATTTGGTATTCAAACTTCACACTTCAAATATCAGACTTCAAATTTTAAACATCTGACATTTACTTAACTAATTTTTTAGCATTAGATTTTTAAAACCCCTCACCGCAAATATCAGATTATTTCGAATTTTGGGCTTGAAAATTCAAGATTCAAGTTTGAAGCTTCTGACTTCAAACCAAAACTGTATACAAACTTAAAACTTTAGATTGTAACCTTTAAAAACATAAACATTTTTCAAACGACAAACGGTAAACCTCATACATCAAACCTCAATTACACTTCAAACTTCTATCCTCAAACTTCTATTCTCAAACTTCTATTCTCAAACTTCTATCCTCAAACTTCTATCCTCAAACTTCTATCCTCAAACTTCTATCCTCAAACTTCTATCCTCAAACTTCTATCCTCAAACTTCTATCCTCAACCTTCTATCCTCCAACTTATATCCTCCAACTTCTATCCTCAAACTGTAAACCGCAAACCTCCAACCTCTAACTTCAAATGGTAAACTTCAAACCACAAACCTTCCAACCTGATTCCTCACACTTCACACTTCCAACCTCAACTTCTAACCTCAAACACCAATCTTTAAATTTAAACGGTAAGTATATCTTCCAATTCCAATAGAATGCCTTCATTTACACAACTCAGATATACACATTCAAACTTCAGACCTGATCAAACCTCAGACTTCAGACACCAGACTTCAGACTTCTTCAGATATCAAACTTCAGACTTCAACCTTCAGACTTCAAGCTTCAGACTTCAGACTTCAAACTTCAGATTTCAAACTTCAGACTTCAAACTTCAGATTTCAAACTTCAGACTTCAAACCTCTAACCTCAAATTGGCAACCTCAAACTTTAAACCTCTGTCTCACACATCAAACCTCAAATTTCAAACCACAAACTTAAAACGTCAAACCTCGAGCTTCAAACCTCATACTTCAAACCTAACATTTGAAATCTTAAACTTCAAACCTCAAAATTGTAACCTTAAACTTCACACCTCCAACTTGAAATCTCAAATGTCTAACCTCAAACTTCAAACCTCAAACTTCAAACCTCAAACTTCAAACCTCAAAACCTCACACTTCAAACTTTAAACCTCAAACTTCAAACCTAAAATTTGAAATTTCAAATTTCCAACCTCAAATTTGTAACCTCAAACTTCAAACCGAAAACTTCAAAATCTTAAACTTTAAACCACCAACTTCTAACCCCAAATTTGAAAGCTTAAATTTTCAACCTTAAACTCACTCACTCACTGCACAACTCAAAACTTCACACTTCAGTATAATTTCAGCGAGAAAAATCAAACGAAAACGCTCCGAAATGGAGGATAATATCTTACTAGTTCACACTTCAAACTTCAAGCTTCAAACCTCAAAGTTCAAACCGAAAATTTAAAATCTTAAATTTCAAACCTCAAATTTGTAACCTCAAACTTCACACCGCAAACTTCAAACCCAAAATTTCAAACCTCAAATTTCAAACCTTAAACTTCAAAACTTAACTTCAAGCTTTTTGTTTCACGCTCCAATTTAAAAGAACTTGTAACTAATTGTAATTCTTCTTTTAATATTATATCTGCAGGCTTCAATCTAACTTCGACCTTTGATCGTGGAGGTTTTCTTCAAACCTCAGGTGTCACACAACAAACTTCAACAAGCTTCAACTCAAAACTCCAAGCTTTAGATTTAATTTTGCACGAATTATTTGAAGATCAATGCATCTCCAACCCAAAATCTCACGTTCCACATTTTTAAGCCTCTTTTAACCATCGAGTTGAACTTCAAAACCACAAATTTAAAGCACAATTTTGACGCTAACTTCCTTAGTTTTGAACTTCAAGCTTTAAAGATATCTTCAAACCTGTCTTTCAGATTCTTCAGATTCTTCAGATTCTTCAGATTCTTCAGATTCTTCAGATTCTTCAGATTCTTCAGATTCTTCAGATTCTTCAGATTCTTCAGATCCTTCAGATCCTTCAGATTCTTCAGATTCTTCAGATTCTTCAGATTCTTCAGATTCTTCAGATTCTTCAGATTCTTCAGATTCTTCAGATTCTCCAGATTCTTCAGATTCTTCAGATTCTTCAGATTCTTCAGATTCTTCAGATTCTTCAGATTCTTCAGATTCTTCAGATTCTTCAGATTCTTCAGATTCTTCAGATTCTTTAGATTCTTCAGATTCTTCAGATTCTTCAGATTCTTCAGATTCTTCAGATTCTTCAGATTCTTCAGATTCTTCAGATTCTTCAGATTCTTCAAATTCTTCAGATTCTTCAGATTCTTCAGATTCTTCAGATTCTTCAGATTCTTCAGATTCTTCAGATTCTTCAGATTCTTCAGATTCTTCAGATTCCTCAGATTCTTCAGATTCTTCAGATTCTTCAGATTCTTCAGATTCCTCAGATTCCTCAGATTCTTCAGATTATTCAGATTCTTCAGATTCTTCAGATCCCTCAGATCCCTCAGATCCTACAGATGTTTCAGATTCTTGAGATCCTCAGATCCTACATTTCCTTTCAATACTTCCGATCCCTCGAACCTAAAACTTTAAATTTTAGACAGATAAAATTAAAATTGCGTACTTACATTTAATTGGTATCTAATTTCTGCAAACGTGTTTAACGATTAGACCAAAAGGTGATGCGTAGGTTGGCCGCTCTTGAACTACTAAACGATTCAGCCAATTTTCTACAATAAAGCAATTATTAATTATTTAATTAAATTTTCGAACTTGACACACATCGCGAAGAAATTACGCTCTAGCGCACTAAACTAATGCGACTACCAAAGGCATTCCACGATGTTGTATCACAGAAATAAGGCCTTCAGAGGCGCATGTTAGACGAGAAGAAAAAAAGGTCTAACCATATTTTATTGTTGGACGAAACTCGGGTCGTAACCGTTATAAAATAACGTATATAAATGGCGGGTCGCGTCACGCTGCCTTCCATTCGTGCTTTCCGCAT